CAAGATAGCAATGGCTGAAAGTGAAAATATAGTTGCAATTCAGCAGTCAAGAAATTAGATTCAGCATTTAGGGTTAGCACTAACTAACACCAATCGAGTAGATAAATAAATAATAAATAATAAAATAAAATACTCTTTATTTCGGACCAGAAGCATCCATAGGTTATTAGTAGAAATAACTTATATCTATGTTAGTACACTTTAGTAATTAATTAGTAAAAAAGTTTGCTATTCGTAAATGCATCCACGAACAACATCACCGATACCAATGATTACGTGCTACTTAGAAACTAGCTTATTGCTCGTGATGCATCTACGAACAATGTCAAAAATTAGAGGAAATAAACTTCCAAGCCCCAGGAATAAGTAAAATATTTACCTCAATAATGTCTGTTTTCACCTAGCTTCAATGACGGACTGACTGACAGATTAAAACTACATTTGAAACGTCAACAAATACAAAATTATTATTAATTTTTTATATTTTATGTACCAAATTATGGTTTAATTAATATAAATACTTTGACTTTTTAAAAATTTCTAACATTAACATTATAACTCAGCTAGCATTATAACTATACTAGTAGTGGGAACTAGTGTGTTGTTAATATTTGATTTCTTATGTTTCAGATTAACCCAAGATGAAATATCTAAAGTAACTTATGAATTAGAGTGTCCGAACTTGACCATTAAAGCTGGTTATGAAGTGAAAGGAACTATTAACAGGATCCAAGCAGAAGGAAATGATTTCTGTGAAATTGTATTCGGTACGTGTAACAACAGTGTAAAAGAAATGCTAAGTCCGATGAGACAAATGTGACAACTATTAGAATACTGTCTACAATACTTACTGAATTATTATTGTTGAAACGCGTAAACCATTCTTATATAGATACTTTTTAATATCACATAATACTCAAAAAATGTGCACTCCAAACCATAATGTTTTTGCCATGAGCAGCGTCCGAGCGGGATATTTGCTCATGGCACAGAGGGTCATGGCGATCCGAATGATCCGCGGATACCGCACGATCTCCGGGGAGTCGGCGAACCTCCTTGCCGGATTACCGCCGTGGGATCTGGAGGCGAAGGTGCTCGCGCGCGTGCACAGCATGCGCGCGGATGCACGTCGCCGGGGCGAAACTCCGCTGCCGCGCCAGATAAGTGCGTGGCGGGATGAGCTCCGGCGCGATCTCATGGCGGAATGACAGCAACGACTGTCGCAATCGAGGGCTGGGCTCGCTGCCATCGCAGCGGTAAGTCCCCTCTTTGAGGAGTGGCTTGAGAGACGCTACGGCGTCCTCACCTACCGCCTGACGCAGGTCCTCACCGGACATGGGAGTTTCGGGAGGTACCTGTGTCTGATGGGGCGGGAGGAAACGTCCGGATGTCATCACTGCGAGGACCGCCCTGAGGACACGATGGAACACACAGTGGGAGAATGCCCTGCGTGGGCTGAGCACCGCCGTGCCCTCAGGGAAGTGATCGGCGATGGCGACCTCTCGCGTCCGGGCCTAGTGCGGGCCATGATGCGGAGCGAGGGGGATTGGGATGCCGTCTCCTCCTTTTGCGAAGCAGTCATGCTAGCTAAGGAGGAGGCGGGACGCGTGAGGCAGCGAAGCGCTGCCTCCGCGCAACCCAGCCATTGCGAAGGACACACCGGGCGTCGGGGATCGCGGGACGATCTCCGGCCACCGTAAGCGCGGGCCTGCGGACGGCGAGCATGGGTGGCTCCCCGTCCGACCAGAAACAGACCCGAGCGTACGGCGCGTCGCGTTCCGCGAGCGCCTCAAAGAGCCATCAGACCACCACAGATGGAAGAGAAATCGTCCCGAGGTTTATTTTATCAGGATTTAATTTGTTTTCGTAAGTCTGTAAAGTAGCTAAGTAGCTAGAATTGAATAAAAAGCAACCTTCAACGTATAGTTGAAAAATATTAATGTAATGTATGGGATTCCTACTTTCGTCAAAGACAAATAAAAAAATGTGTTCATTACAGGTATCTACAACCTGAATATCAGTGGTATATATGAAAGAACGAAGGGAGACGATGGCAAACTGCACTTCTATATACTCTCCTATAATTTAGAACTAGATCAGAAAGCAGTATCAACTGTCTCGTATCACAATCTTTTTACTCGTCCCACTGGAATGGGTAAGATGATCTTAACAAAAGCTGTCACAGACCTAGATATAAGAAATTTAATTTAACGAGCTAGGTATGTTGTACTATAGTGAAACAAGTGATAGCTAGTTGTCACAGAACTATACAATTATATAAATATTCTGCGATTGTACCGATTTAAATAAATTTATATAACAGTATATTTAAATATATTAAAGTAACACTTGACGTGTTACGTTTACTTGTTCCATTTTTAATACAGTTACTACAGTTTTAAATAGTTTCATTATTTGTACGATCCACCCAAATGTTCTTTTGGTTGGTATTGTTCGTCATCAGTCAGCCTCACGTACTTACTGCCTCAGCGTACTGCGGTCGTGAACGGGATTCGTTCTGACGGCTCAAGCTGTTGGCACTACAGAATTAACTTGAAATGTAATTCTCACGCTATTCTAGAAATCAATAGCTGTACTACTATGAATAAAATTAAGTGTTATGTATTATTTCCAGATGATTATTTTGGGAAAAATTTGGAGAAGCAGACACGAGATTTAGTAATGAAGAAATTTTTAAACAAATACGTCAACAATCTTAAGGACTTTCAGCGAATAGTACCCATAGAAGAAGTACATTTTAGATACGTATCTGAATAACTAAATTATTATAAAATAATTAAATAATAATCTCGTCATTACATTAAATTATTTTAATTTCTAAATTATCTTTAACATTAATAATAAACTGTTCAAACAATAAAAAAATATATATTTTTCTTGAGTATTTTTTATTGTTGCCCTATGTAATTATAAGAGTTCCTATAAGACACTGTCAATTAGAAAAACCTAAGCAGGATAACACAATATTTAAACTGAGAGATGGCACTTAAAGAAATTCTACTAAATTTTTATTTTTATTCGATCTCTGGTTTTTACTGTAACCACAATATTACGATAGTGTGCCATAATAAACCTCCATGATTGGCAGGTGACTTGAAACGAACATTTGGAAGTTGTGGCTGCTGGAGACAGTCTTTACAAACCCGGCTACGGGCGCGTAGAGTGGGAACTTTAAGCCCAGTGACCTCAAGCAAAAGAGTGGTCAATGGCAACGTGTCACCGAAATGGCATAAAAACTTTTGAAGGTTTCCCTCCGACATCAAAAGAGGTTTTATGTTTGTGGTATACGTAAATTGTAAAACTTATTGTATAGTAGGCACTAAAAACTATTGTGAAAACGATATATCAAACAGTACTACCGATCAAGAAAGTCTGAACACATCGTAACATTCACATTTAATAGTGAACTAGAAACTATCAAAATTTAAAACATTATAATTGTTAACATGTTGTAACATTTTCCAATTGACATTAGAAAGAAAAAATATTCAGGCATAGTTTTTTTTACATATAATTTTAACAATAGTTATAACTATCATTTTCAAAGAAATAAATTATTTTATTGCTAAATTCTCATATGACTGCCTCGTTGGCCGAGTGGTCGCAAGTGCGACTGCCGGGCAAGGGGCCTCGAGTTTGATTCCCAAGTTGGGCATTAAAGTGGGATTTAAACAAAATCTCAGTAGTAGCACGGAGTCTGGAATTGTGCCCGGTATGTGGCAATAGGCTCAACCCCTACTACTTGACTCATATTATAAATACTGAAAAATGGGTGTTACATTGTACAGTGGCATTGAGTGCCGTAATGTCACCATCATGCCATGTTATTTTAAATTCTCACAGTTTTTATTTTAATCATATTTAATTTGAATAAAAATAAGTAGGGATAGTGGGGCGCAATGGAAGACGGGGCACAATAGTACAAGGTCGATAATTATACCTCTATTATTCAAATTCAAAATCAATTCCCGCTCTTTCTCATGGGCCAACCACAACGTCTCACCCGCCATGTGATGGCGCAATGCAATGTGACCGGTCTGCGCTGACTGAGTTAATAATTGAAAAAAAAATTGTTTTAAGCGATGAAAAGTTACATTTACGTGACGGAAGACTTTTGAAAAAGTATTGATAGCAAGTAAGCTATATTTTTTCGTGTAAATCTTAGTTAATTTTTCTACAAAATTCAGTTAATTGTGTAGTGAAAAATACAATCTAAAATATTTGCCGATTTTTTAAAATTTACTATACCCCAAGAGGCACAATGAGACGGGGCACTATGGAACAATACTCCATTGTGCCCCGTTTAGTTCTGTATAGTTTTTATTGGCTTTGTTGCAGATATTGAAGTCATAATGGTGCGATATCGCAAAAGAAGAACAGACAGGGGCTTGCACAGTGAGGTGGCTATGCGGAAAGCAGTAGAATTGGTCGAAGGAGGAATGAGTTTGAGAGCTGCTGCCGAGGTAGTGTGTAAAATGCAATATGGTACATCGATATGCAAAAAAAGAGAGTAGCTGAAACCAGAGCAACATTATCAATGACGCCTTACTATGCTGTCAATAAAATATTTTTTGAAGAGCTTGAAAATTCACCAGAACTATATTTGGAAAATATTTCTTATGTTATTCTAAAGTTTCATCAATTCTAGAAGATGAAAGGTATGTAAGAATCGTAGCTATTGGCGTTCAATAGTCTCTGCCTATCCCGGCAGACAGGCGTGAGGTTATACATACGTATGTACATATGTTTGAAAGTTCTAGATTGTTTTCAACTTTGCAAAGCCGTTTAGGTACCAATTAAAATTTAACACTACGTAATGTGCCTATTTCTGTAGCTATTTAAGGAAGTTCAACAAATTCAAGATTTTCGAGGTCCAAAGATTATTTGGAATTCTAGCTAGAATTATCTTGAGTTATTATATCCACCTAATCGTGCACGTTAATATTTTATAAATACTGAAATCTCATACAACAATGGTTATTATTTTCTGAGAATTTAAGCTAAAATGTTCTCAGTAAAGTTCGTTTTAATTTTCTTGAGTTTTAAATGTGTGTTATGTAAGTATCTTTTGTGTTTAATTTAGATTTCAATCATCAGTTTTAGTGTCGGTCCTGGCTACTCGAAAGACTCAGAAAATTAATTCCGACTGCCCAAAAATGTGCAAAATGTCGAAAAATACCCACTAGACAAAGAAATTGTGTGTTTTAAAGTTTTGATCTCGTGGAAAATGTCATGTAGAAAATTAATAGGTGTGTGCTGTATATTATTTCATTGAAAATTGTTTTATTATATCCATATTTAAAAATTCTAGGTCTGCAAAAGCAATTTTGCTACAATGACGATGAGTGTCTCATGAATGCAGTGATTGAGAGAGTGTATCCACGATTTTTGGCAGGAGGACATGGAGTAGAGACTTCTGATCCTCTTCACATCGACGCCATTGTTGCTGACCTGCCAACCCTCAGATATGGTCTATACAACGCTTCGATAATTGGCTTTAAGGACTGTGAATTTGTGAAATTGAAGTGAGTAGTTTTTCTTTAATTGTTCTTTTTCATGTGTTCGATTTAAAGTTAATAATGAAATAATAAACTACCTATGACGCAGGATTGTAGCGCTCCTTGAAAATCCTGTTAGACTGACGGGCCTCCGATTCATAGTCAAAAAATGGACTATCACGGGTCTTGGTTATTATGAAGTCAACTAAAACGAAAATGAAGTCAATGGACTTACGGACCTAAAATACCACAGATACCTACATTAATACATCAGTAACACAACAATTACAACATATTTTTTTTATTTTATTTTTTTTTCAGCAATAAACGACTCAACACGTATACGTACTTCGACTACGCAATAACATGTCCAGTTCTTACTCTCCAAGCGCGGTATGAGCTTAATGGTATCATAGACTCAATCCCAGTTGAAGGCAAGGGACAATGTAAAATTGTTTACGGTATGTATTCATTTCAAACTTTTTGCTCGATCCTTAGAAAATTAAAAGGCAATTTTGGTTTGGTTATGGAACGTGGACATTATAGTTAATAATAGGAAGGTTATTAGTGTTCATCACGCCGTTGGCACAAAATTATTTTAAAAAAATGCGGCGCTGCGAGCAGCGATACAAGCTCACGCCTAGTTCAGTCGTGCATGCTCCTTCTCCAAATTCTAAAATACCTGTTTTAAGTCTAGCTCGTAAACCAAATTGCAACCACTTTTTGAGAAATAAATTATATAATATTTATTCCTAAAAAAACCTGTAATTTAGCTTATTCGAACACAAAATATAATAAGAATTTTTAAACACAAATTTAGTACCCAATTCAAATATTTTGACTTGTAGTAAGCAAATATGCGCAAAAACTTAATAGCAATTGCTTATACATTTTTGTTCTATAAAGCCCTAACACTTTCCCAGCTTAATCTCAGTGTTAGCAAAAAAAATGAAATAAATACTTTCAACTAAAAATCTAATGTTTATTAAATTACAGAGAAATACTACATATCAATAAGTGGAAAGCATGAAAAAGTGAAGGATGATGAAGGCAAAGAACATGTAAACATATTGGAATACAAAATCGTTCCCGATCTGAAGAACGGGAGAGTACGAGACCCTGAATACACAGACTTAACCTTTAGCCAACACGACAAATGTAAGTATTTAGTTCATCCATTTACTAATAACACATTTATATATGAATGTGTTATTAGTAAATTGAAGGAAATGCAACTATTTTGAAGGAAATGCAAAGGAATTGAGTAAGTCCATTTGAAAAAAATCCTTAAAAACAATTTCTGTTCTCTTTTTGGTTCAAATAATTGAGAACAGCGCCATCTTTAGCTTGTGAATCATATTAAGTAGTCTGAGAAGGCAGCAGCGTTAGCGAATTACACAAGACGCTAGCAAACAAGATTTTTGACCACGCAGACAACTTTTTTGACATGGAATATTTTGCAGGCGTAAAAAAATTAAAAACAAGATTAATTATTCCATCGACTTGCATGCCATGGCTCTTTTTTGCAAAGCGGTTTATTTTTGCTGTAATATTTTTATGAAGAGCACCCGTCCAATCCGCTGTTTCAGTCTTTGGTCATAAATGAGTATATAGCAAGACTTACTTGCCCGGTAACTTGGATCTCCCTCAGACTTAAAACACATCATCTGAAAAGTTACCAGTTATTAATCGTTATTTACATTTCATTACATTCCCAGGTAGCGACCGTTTAAGAATAATAGAAGAAATGACCCGAGACATCGTGATGGATGTCTTCCTGAACAAATACATACAGAATCTGAAGGATTTCCATAAACATACTCCTATTGAAGACTTACACTACAAATATGTTCGATAAATAATTTTATATACTGAAGTGCGTGCCAATATATAGTATATCGTGTTGTTTTATTTATTTTCTGACTGAAACACCCCAATAACACGTAGCCCGGTCCGAGAGTAACCAGCTCCTTAGTAGTCGAAATGACGACCACTCATTCAATGAAGCAGTCTAAACGAAACTCAATAGGTAATAGCACGGAGACTTAAATTGTGCTAATGCAATAGGCACATTAAATGAGACTTTAGCATTACTTGCGAAGAGTGAATATTACACTATATATTAACTCGTTGAGTACCGTCATTATAGACACAATTATAGAACAATAGGTTGCGGTCACCGGTGACCGCTCGGTGTTTGACAGTTTAAATATATTTAATATATGACTACCTCGTTGGCCGAGTGGTCACAAGTGCGACTGCCGGGCAAGGGGTCTCGGGTTAGATTCCCGGGCCGGGCAATGTATTACTGGGTTTTTAAAAAATCCTCAGTAGTACCACGGAGTCTGGAAATGTGCCCGGTATATGGCAATAGGCTCACCCCCTATTATATGGGACTCATAACATAAATAGTGAAAAGTGGGTGTTACATTGTACAGTGGCATTAATATTACATTTACAGTGGTATTAATAAAAGTATATTATACGGCATTTTATTATTCATTAATTAACAATTAAATTAAACTAGGTTTGTACGTCATCATTTTATGCTTTGTTCTGGTACATTTAGTGTTCATTTTTTAACCAATATTGAGCCTGGCTGAATCCCAAGAAAATTCATAATAAGTTGTTATGTATATTGGCTCATCTGGTCCTCTATAGTCCCTAAAGTCGATGTATGAGATTGGCCACTGCCAATAAATTGGCGATAATATTTTTCATTCCACATTCCGCAATTCTAATCAAAATTTTATGTTATCATGAAATCTTTCGTGAGATATACTAAATTAATTATTATGTTATCGGCTTATTATTATTATACCACCGATATTCTGGATGACACTTAAATTCTTCGGAAACTAGAAGACCTAAAATGTCAGTGACACTACGCCCGCCCTTTTTTTTCAACGTCATTTCGAAAAACCAATGTGCGACTATCATGTCGAATCTTAGCCATTTTCCTAAAAAAAAATTAAGCAGAGAAAACCTAATGACTTCCTCCGCTTGGGTGAGGTGAGAGGGAGTTGCAGACTCTTACTGACTAAAAACTACCCCGTTCTTACTCCTGCCCTTCGAGCCGGAGCCCCGGTAACTCATTAAGTCTTCCGCGGCTTCGCACCAGCCCTGTTGGGCCTCGCTCGGGTCTGGTTCTCGCCCGGCGGCGAGCTACCCATTCTCGCTGTCCGCAGGCCCGTGCTTACGGTGGCCGGAGATCATCCCGCGATCCCCGACACCCGGATTGTCCTCCGCGACGGCTGAGCTGTGAGGAGGCAGCGCTTTGCTGCCTCTTGCGCCCCGCCTCCTCCTTAGCTAGCATGCATGACTGCTTCGCAAAAACAGGAGATGGCATACCAGTCCTCTTCGCTCCGTATCAAGACCCGGACTAGGGCCAGACGCGAGAGGTCGCCGTTGCCGATGACATCCCCCGAGGGCACAGCGGTGCTCAGCCCACGCAGGGATCAAGAGTCCTATAAACTCTTCTTGATATTTATTATTACATAACTAAAATCGTTAATTAACTACAGAACCAGAAATGAAAACAATGTTTTTTGTATATTATAAATAAATAGATTGTTTAACTAGTTTCTATACGGTTCCTTGATTTTGTATTACGCATATAAATACACTTTAATTGTTATTAAGTTGATTTTGTCTAGAACGCCTTGAAAAGCGGCTAGCATTATGTTTAAGATAATCATTTTATTCTTATTTTCTGTGTTTATTGGTGTACAACCCGTTCCAAGTAAGTACTTTTATTTAAGACTTTAATATTTTGAGTCATTCGTTTATATTAATACCCAATGTTTCGATACGAGTTTTAAAATAGATGCGATATAAAATGATTCACGTCAGCAATTCTCGGAAGACATAAGTGCATATAGCATATTATACTTCATTATGAACGTTTATTATTTATTGTAATTGAAATACAACGTTTTAATATTAATATCATATGTATCCTGGCCATTATTAAAGACATCGTTTTTCAAAAATTATTATATTGAAAAACAATAATTGTATAATGGTTATGGACTAACAACGTGTTCAATTCCCACGCAGAACAATAAAATTATTTGTCTGATCAACTAATTCTTATTCCGGGTCCGGGTCTAAGTGCATGGGAATTGATAAAAAATTATACAGTGTAGGGTACCGTTTTTTTTTAACAGAAGAATTATCATCTTTGTCTCAAGAAAAGTAGTTATAACTAATCAAAGTCCTAGATAATCGAGCTGTAAAATTACAAACAAAATGATTGGAAAGACCGTTGAAAAAAGGCGGACATAATCTCGACTGAAACAACGACTACGGCACCTGTAGCACTATAGTAACATAGACGCAACAAAGTGCGACTGCCGGGCAAGGGGTCTCGGGTTCGATTCCTGGGTAGGACAAAGTACAACTGGGTTTTTTAAAATTCTCAGTAGAAGCACGGAGCCTGGAATTGTGCCCAGTATTTGGCAATAGGCTCACCCCTTATTACATAGGACTCATAACATAAATAATGAAAAGTGGGTGTTACATTGTACAATGGCACCATGTGCACCTCTGCCATTTCGGGGATAAAAGGTGTGATGGTATGTTATGTTATGAATAACTTTGAATATTTAATCATTCTTCCATACTAAAATCTGTCAAATTTTAATCTACCTACAGTTAAATCGTCGAGTACCGGTTTTGTAGACACAATTATAGAACAATAGGTTGCGGTCACCGGTGACCGCTTGGTGTTTGACAGTTTAAGAACTAAATGATTATTGAGAAATCATAGTCTGGTAACATAGTAACCAATGAGTTACCATATAATAACATACGAACACACAAATAAACCCATTGACATTTTGGTCCTTCAATCATAACTACCTACCCCTTCGGGGATAAACGTCCGCTTTTTATTCAACGTCTTTGCCTAATGGTAATACTTTCTTTCATTCCAGCTTTAGCTTTTCAACAATGTAAAAAGACCGATGTCCCCTGCCTAAATAAGAATATAGACACTATATTCAAGCAGTCTATAAAAGGAGATCCAGATTTAGGTATCAAAACTTTAGACCCAATGCACCATGACAAAGTAGTTGGGGAATTAGGTGTCATTGAATACCAGTTGTATAACAGTACTGTTGATGGATTCTCAAACTGTAATGTGGTTAACACAAAGTACGTATAATTTAATCTTACGTTACTCGCAAAACAAAGGTATCAAGATCATCAACGGAACGTCACAGTCTACTGGATCTATGGATACTAGGTGCCTTCTACATAAGAGGAATCTAAGCTGTACAAGTTTACGATTCAAATTTTGAACCATAAATAGCTTATATCTTACTTATTGCTTGTATGATACAATTGAGTTGAATACTTATGCTTATTTTTTTATTTATTAATGAAAATTTTGTGAAATCTGCAAGAATATTTGGAAAAAACCATGTACTACATACATTGTGCTGTTAGTAATAATTTTATGATCAAATAGTTCACATTTACTAAATAAATGCCTAATCTTCTGGTTTCAGACTGGACTTGGAAAAACGCGAATTCAATTTCCGCATTGTATGTCCACTTCTAGTAATGTATGGGGTTTACAACATATCTGGTACACTTATAGTGATGCCAATAGAAGGACTTGGAGACTATAAACTTATATGCAGTAAGTTTGTTATTAACTTTAAAGTAAATGAAAGATGACTTGGTGAAAATAAAGATTTGGTTAAGATAAAAATAACTAGAAATCTCGTAAATAAATATAGTAATTTTAGATTTAATTGATGGACTAACAATACAATTATTGATAGCCTTTTATCTGTTGAAACACCGGCTCCCGGTATAAAACACATTATACCCGCAACTTTCAACAGACAAGAAGATAGTAAGATTTTGGAATCGGTTATTGCATGCAATAATCGATTAAAGCAAATCGATCACTTACTTTTCAAATGTAAATAAATTCATTTGTAGTTAATTACAAATAGTAAAAGTACTACAAATAGTGCTAATTAAAACAGCAACAATCGATTATGAATATTATTGAATCGTTCGGGGAAAACCAAACATTACATTAAATACATAGAAAATGCAAAACCAATAATCTCATACAATTATCTTCAATTATCATCTTCTACTAAACAATTATTAATATCAAATTACAGAAGGTTACGACATACAAGTTGAAACTGATATAAAGATTAATCAAGATAACGATGGAATGAAACATATGACTGTGAAATATTTTAAAGTTGATGGTGAATTAACTATAGGAATGACTACTGATCTCCAAAATCTGTTTGATGGAAAACAACCACAGCTAGGTAAGTTCCTGTATATTTAGGGCCGATTTTGCAATCATCAATAAAATTGACATTTTACATTTTAGTATAGATGAATTGTCAAAAATTTAAACTTATTCCTTAGTTAAAATTTATCTGAGCATTGAAAAGTCGACCCTAAATTAAGTTTCCATAATGATCGAGTTTAGATAAAACTATAAGTGAACTTCTTGTATTCAGCGTCTCACTGCAAATTTTGATCTGGAAGTAAATGGAGCCACTATCGTTATTTTTTTCTATGTTATTTCTTTATAAATCTTTTCTGATACAAGTATTTTATTAACTGGTAAAGTATATCGAACAAAAGGTAATTTAGTTACCTTTAAAATGAGAGCATTTCGTTGTAAAAGGAATATTCTTTAAAGTTATAGAAGATTCGATAAAATTAATAAAACGCTTATGGCTACGTTTCGTTGTTCCCAAATGTAGTTTGAATGCAGACATCCTTTGCTATGCTTGTCGGCTGACCTGGAAGTCAAAGGGTCAAATTCTCAGTTAATGTGGATGCAAATGTCGATTTGTCGTTCGACGTGGAGTACTAAAGGGAAGGCCTTTGTCGTCCAGCAGTGGACGTCTTTCGGTTGTTGATGATGATGATGATGATGATGATGATGATGATGATGATGATCATGAAATCCTCGGTTTAAGAGATACGACATTTTTGTTAGTTTTCTTAGAACTCACAAAACATGGAAATAACATTTTTCTCATACTAGCGCAATAAATAACAAAATCGTAGTAAAATCCATAATTTTAACTCTTCCATAGTAACAGGTAAGCAGAATTCAAAACATCGACTGGAGTACTTCGTTAGTTTCTAACTAACGGCAAACTCGTCATATTTCATGGTGCTAACAACACTGGCGTGTGGTATGGTACATATTTACATAGGGTGGAAATGCTGACCTTTCGGGAAACAGAGGCTGTACCCGCTGTAACTCGAATACATTAAAATCTAGACCTGAACCTCTACTGAATATGTTCAGAAATGTTCGATAGAAGTAATTTATAGTTTGTGCATATGGTTAATAACATACTACATTGGCGCTTGTGCACAAATCAATTTAAAAGATTATGTTCTAAAAAGATCAGAGAAATTATTTTCTACTGTCAAGATTGGCAATGTATAGGTTTATAGCAAAAAACAAACAATTCCAAAATATGTATTACAGCAATAACGATGAAATTTAAATCATAAACGTTCCCAAAATTTTCCTCTTCATCTAATTTATTCCTGTTTTCTCCTAAAATAAACATCTTAACTGATACGGGTACCTAATCATCCATCATTTAGTGATTAGCACAGCATTTTGTTCTTGTTAGTTAATTGCCACTTACCTTAACTTAAACTGAGCCCCTACATTATTTGGGTCAGCGGTTTTCGTTAACTGGGCCATGCCAAAGATCCTGTGGCTTTTCTAATAATATACTACGGGTAGCGTCCAGTTTGGTGGCAATAAATTGGATTAACTGAAGTGTAATATACTGAAACGAAAACTTTTCTGTGACTTTTATTATTAGAATTAACTTTTATTTGAATTGTTTGTGTAACAATTATTATAAATGGCTTCCAGAGGTTGGGGGTTTCTTTTGTATTTTGTTTTTGTTTGTGTTTGAGACAGTTTAAATAATTATGTGTTCTTGCCGTATACATAAATAAAACAGCTTTGAGAGAAATAGCTTTAGAAGCCAGTGAGACACTGATTCTCTCTCTGTAGTTTGGCAAAAAAATATTTTTAGTAGAAGTTATTTTTAGACATTATGTTTGTTGTTGTTATTACGTCAATAGACATCGCGGCAGGCCCAAAAGGAGATGGCGGGACGAACTGAACATCTATGAAAAGGATTGGCCGCAAAAAGCTTTACATAAAGATCAGTGGAAGGAGGTAGGAAGGTCTTTGCACTGCAGTGCGACGATCATGGAACTGAAACTTAAATAAATAAAAATGTTTATTGGTACTAGAACAATTTCGTCATTATAATCTTATTTTACCTCTACAATAAACCAAAATCAATCAATATTCTAACTCGCTATAGACGTCCGAAATAAAACTGTGGAAAAGAAGCGTCCAAAAATTTGTCACGAAAATGTTAGTGCCTTTATTCAAAACGCCTACTACTTTTACTTTTTCAATTTCCTTACTTTTTCTCGTAAATCAAACGCACGGACTCACTGTCTCAGCATACATAAATAATTCTTTTGCTTAATGGACCTTAAGAATATTTATGACTTAAGTTTTCATGGCTTACGTTATTCTGTTCAAACTGCTCCTGCCTTAATATTTTGCTATGAATAATGTTTTGAATAAATATAATGGATTTAGTTTTTCTTAAGTTATTTAGGAACATAAATACTAGCTTTTGTATTTCAAAAGTAGGTAATGAACTACACTACTACTTTTTTTTTAATTAGTCCTTTTTTAAGGGAGGAAAATCATCGAATGACTCCTTCCGCATGAGTAAGGCGGGAGGCTCACCCATGCGGGAGTGTCAGACTCTTGTTGACTACAAACTACCCCATTTCTACTCCTGCCCTTCGAGCCGGACCCCGTCAACCTCTAGTCTAGCATAAACACTAACAGTTTGAATAATCTTAAGTAGTTCTAGATTTTGTTAGTTGCATATAATAAAAGTATGTACATACGTATCTGCTAGCCTTCAAGAAAGTACCTCATTGCCAATGAGTAGCGCTAATCGAGTACTATCTGGATATTTATCTTATTCTTAGTCCCCTTTTCTTATAAAAAGAACCTACTTATTATAAAACGAAATGGTATAGAATTATAGATTCCAAAATATTCCCTAAATTATTTTCTGTTTTCAGCCAAAGATGTTCTTAAATTTGCAAATGACAACTGGGACCCGGTAGCCAAGCTGCTCCAAGGTCCAGTGTTCGGCGCTAATTTTGCGAAGATAACCAAGAATATTAACAAATATTTGAAGCATATTCCATTGAATCAGATTATAGAGGAATAAGGTTTATTAATGTTATTAAAAATGTTAAAAACATGTTTATATTTTAACTTAAAAAATAAATATCCTTCGTACCTGCTATCTCCTGACATAATCCTCCGCGCTTTTACTAATAAAAAATAGATTTATTACAAAAAAAAAAGAAATCTGTAAGCATGTATCCGCTAACCGTGAATAATCTATACATATAATAAAATTGTAGAAAAGTGCTGTCTGTACATTGAAAATAAAAATAAAAAAAATAGCAGGGGCTATTGTTATGTCGATGTCGAACCCAAAAATGCAACTAACTTTTTTTTTGTCTGTTTGTCTGTTTACGCTAATCTCAGAAACGGCTTATCCGAGTTGGATGCGGTTTTCACGAATATATTGTGGTATGCTTCAGTTATGCTTTAGTGTTTGTTTCATGTCAATCGGTTCATAAATAAAAAAGTTACGTCAAATTAAAGAATCACGTCGAACACTATCTATCTATATCTATCTATCTATACATATAATAAAATTGTAGAAAAGTGCTGTCAGTACATTGAAAATAAAAATAAAAAAAATAGCAGGGGCTATTGTTATGTCGATGTCGAACCCAAAAATGTAACTAACTTTTTTTTTGTCTGTTTGTCTGTTTGTCTGTTCACGCTAATCTCAGAAATGGCTTATAAATATATATATATTTAACAGGGTGCGGATTTGGTGATAGTGGTTTTATTCCTCAGATTCCTCTCATTCCAAAAAAATTTCCGTTTAATTTTAAACGAATTTAGTTTCCAGTGAGCCTATGTTTCGCCATGACAATTAATAAAGCTCAAGGTCAGACTCTAAAAGTTGTGGGTATAGATCTAAGTATCAGCTGTTTTTCGCACGGTCAATTGTATGCTCTGTCCCGTGTTAGCAATCCCAGCAGCGTGTATGCTTTCACCCCCGATGGCCATACGTCTAATATTGTATATAGAGAAGCATTACAGTGAAGTAGGTTTTTTAGCTACCCAAAATGACTGTGATTATGATCCAAATCTAAAATAAAAATAAGTATATATTTAAAAAAAAAACGCTGCTCATAGTCACTATTCTACGCGAACGAAGGGGCACAGCTAGTATTGTAATAAATAACAATAATATTTCTTTTATAAACTAGAACAAACGCCTTCGAACACTATTATTAAAATAATTATCCTTCGTCTTACTACTTTTTAATAACACTTAGACATCTTTAATAACAAGTAATTTTAATAATACGCCACTTTTGTAATAATAATACGTTTTATTCATTGTCGTATGACATGTCATTAATAAATGACAGGTGCAACGAGTGGAACCGTACTTGCGAACTGATTTTAGTGATAACATATTAACAATATACTTACAATCTTATTTTTCTTGACCTGTTTTTATTCGAAATGTTACCCTAGTAATTAAACAAATAAATGTTCAGCTTCATAAGGGTATCCTACCCATAAGTAAGTATGAAACAGCTGTCACGTTAGTTTACATGAATAGAAGTGGTCTTAATTCATTAAACCAATTATTGACACAGTATCTGAATGTGATCACAATATTTATTAATTACATTTGTCGATTTGTCTGTCATTTGCACATAGTTTTCTTTTTTATATGGGATAAGCCAGTAAACGAGCTGACCGATCACCTGATGGTAAGCAATCGGCGTCGTCTATTGACACCCGGAACACCAGAGGTGTTCCCAGTAATTACCGGCCATTTAGGGATTAGTAATTTGAGGATTTTTGGGGATTCAGGGATTGGGGAGATTGGGAAGGGGGAAGGATAATATACATATATTATACGTACACAGAAGATACTCAATGCAATAATTGTTTCACGTCGGTTTTCTGTGAGACCGTGATATTACTCCGGTCGAGCCAGCCCATTTGTGCCGAAGCTTGGCTCTACCAAAAATTTTTTTTAGCTATTTGTCTTCCATAGATTTTACACAAAAAAAAAAAACTGTGTGTTAATTCCATAATTGACTACTTTTTCATTCATTTTGATTAGAATAGTTTCTGTCATTATCAATCACATGTCATTTAACATACGGCACCCAAATACAACAAGACCTTTAGCGGTATCACATGGGTAGATACTCGTATCTGCCTATACTTTTACTGACACGTGTAATGGGTAGTGTGATTTCTATTATTTCTACTAGTATCTCAATTTAAACAAGCAATTATAAATGCTGACTTTAAATTAAAAGTGTTGACGGTAATTGTAACAATTTAATCTTTTCGATACGTTACTGTAGTTCTTAATTGATATAATATAAAGGGGATGCTAGGCATGCTGTTTTGGGTTCGATACTTGGAAATATTAATTATTTTTAATTGGATAGAAGTACCAGGATAAATGCCTCGTTGGCTGAATTGACTTGCGACCGCAAATGCAACTGCCAGGCAAGGGGTTCGATTCCCAGGTCGGGCAGAAAACTACTGGGTTTTTTAAAAAAAATCTCGGTGTTAGTACGAGTGGAATTGTGCCCGGTATATGGCAATAGGCTCACCCCTCATTACATAAATAGTGAAAAGTGGGTGTTACATACAGTGGTACAAGTGCCGTAATGTGCACCTCTGCCTACCCCTTAGGGGATAAAAGGCGTGATGGATATTATATTAAGTACCAAGATCTCATTATGGTTTCTCTCCTATTATTTGAGTATAGGGATGGAGGAGCAAGGGGGGATACAACTGGTAAAATAATTCAATGTTACGGCAATAAATAAACACGACTTCTCACCATCAGCTTTTTTGTTAGATTTTGTTGTTTTAATATACTTATGAGAGTTGCCAAAATAGGTTTATGTGATGTATTCTTTTCGGTGTAAATCTCTGGGGAACTATGACCTAGAAACTGGTACCTATTGCTCTAAACTATTAATTGATTGTAGCAGACTGTTAAGTATGTCAGTAGTAGGAGTGCTTACTCCTGTTACTGAAGAGCCTAAAGCGCAATATGGGAGAATGTATCCACCCAAGATGAACATTTGCTGAATGAAAATAATTATTCATCTCGTTACAAAAACCGGCTTTGGGTAAGTAGGTATGCAATATACAAAAAAAAACAGAAATAGGAAAAAACTTAACGTGTTTAAAAAAAAATAACCGTAATAAACTAAAAAAATAAGTACAATGAAAACTTGCAAAACTAGTTATGAAGTGTCTGGACTACTTGATAACGAACGATATTTTTTTATTTATTGTCTGCAGACATAAAAATTGTAAAAATTAACCTGCACCTAATCCACGCTACAGACCTTACGATAATTAACACGAAAACTGTGCAGCTTGACCTGTATGACCTGTATAGTAGTAATAATTCAATAGTAAGGAAGGTTGTATAGATCTACGGTTTCACTGTACAGTTTTCCTATCGAAAGACAAACAAAGAACAATTGACCTCTAAATGTGCTAAAACAAACTGCCTAAATGTATAAAACAATAATTTATCTGTTATCAGCTACAATACTGGTTGGCGTAAGGATTGTACTGTGCATTATACGTATGTGATGTCAAATGCGATATCAATCTAATAAACCAAGAAAAGTGCAATGGCACTACCTACAGGCAGGATTCCTTATATACAACCTTACAACCAACATAGTTCTAGAAGTAGGTAGCATATTTCATCGTCCGTACAGATCGAAATTTGGAAAGCCTTAGATGTAAACAAGTCATCAAAAGAGGTAATAGATGTTTTTCATTAAATTGTCCTCGAACTAATTCTCTACTCTTTAAAAAAATAAAAATCTTTCGCCAAAAACAATAATTAAACAATGGGCCTATTTAAACTACATGCCGTTGTTTATTTCCCAGTAATTAGCAAAAACTGTGTAAAATAGCAGGCAGGTATATAATTTATTTTTATTAATCGCGATATTGTTAGAAACATTAAATTTAAATTAATATCCCTGAGTACGTAGCGAATTTAAATGTCGAATAGATTTTAGGAAGATGCTTATCAATTAATAATATGTCGTACATAATATAAACGCCAATGTTTAATGAAGTCTCGTGCACCAAAAGGTTCCTTAGAAAATAACATTTTATTAAACAGCTAAAATTTATCATCAACGTCATCATCGCCACATGACGCCCTCAATTCTGCTAGGTTGGCCGCTCACTTCGACTCAAACTCAAACTCAAAATTAAAAGCATTTATTTCAATTAAACCATAATTTGGTACTTTTGAAACGTCAACAAATATGAAATATATAATAGTCTGTCAGAACAATCTTGACGTGACCTTTATCAGATCCCTGTCCACCTTATGGTTAGTAGTGGATGTCCTGCGCTGTGCATTTTGGCACGTGACGTTATTCGTGATTGCATTAATTTGTAAATCTGTGTAAGTGTGGGAGAGCCATGCTTCGCTCGACCGGAGTGATAACACGGCCGAACAGAAAACCGACGTGAAACAACGCTTGTGATGTGGTTCATCGTGTAAGTGAGGTTACCAGAAGCCCCATTATCCCCCACCCAATCTAAAGATAAAGATAAAGATGTATTTATTTCTGGTGTAGAAATATTAAATAAGCTAAGTCCATGCAAATCTTAGACATTACAATAATCTTCATTTGATACAATCTAGATCTAATCTCTCCAATCCCTGAATCCTCAACAATCCTCAAATTTCTAGACTCCAAAAGGCCAGTAACGCACTTGTAACTCTTCTAGTATTGCGGGTGTCCATGTGCGACGCCGATTGTTTACCATCTGGTATTCCGTCTGCTTGTTTATCCCATAAAAAATGATATTTTTAAACAAAAAGTCTGAAAGTAACAGAAGTAACATTAAAAAGCTGTGTTTGGTATTTTTCTTGCTTGTAGAGGTACGGAACTCTTTTTTATAACGCGATAGAAATCAAACTCAAAATTCAAAAGCATTTATTTCAATTAAACTACCTCTATAATATGGTATTCTTAATATATAATTCGAGTGGAAAAGAACGAGCAAGAAACTCCACGTTACTCTTTTAAAAAAAGTCTGTTTTTTTAATACTCTGATACATATTCCAATGTTGTACACATATGTATGTGAGAACAATGTAAAGACACGCCCGACAATCTTCATGGATTCTAAAAGAGAAAAGG